ACCATTATCATCGCAATCTAAACTCTTTAACGCTATAATTCAACACCTCTTGAAAAACATTTTATACAATGCCAAACCCTCCTCTATCAATTCTTTTCCAATCCTGAAAGAAAAATTATACTTCAATGTTTTTTTTTTTTTTTTTTTTTTTTATGTATTTTTGTTCAATAGCGATTTTAACCCAATCTGACGTGTTTGGTGTATCGCATATCAGCTCTTGTACTCTGATGCGAAATTGATTTGCCACTTGAAGGGCTGATTATCAAATTTGCGAATGCTTCTTTACTTTTATTCATGATACGATATGTTGTACTGCGTTGACTTAATGTTCAAGCATCATCTGACTTGATTTTTAATGGCTCTTTCCATTCTGCATGGGATTCTTCGTCATTTCATCGTGCGATAAATCGCATCACACTGATTTAATACACATACACCAAATAACAATTTCTTTCCATTTTCTCAATAATTTATTTAATTCTGCAAGTGAAACTTCACACTAATCATCATGTATTACATTGCGCCAAGTTGATTTAATGTCTATGCATTCTTGGGCTTGATTTCTAGTGATTGGTTTAAGTATGTAGGCAAATTCCATCCTTCAATGGTCCAAGTACGTTTGAGTTGGTCTCCATGACCATGCTGGCTCATTTCTCATATTCTCAAGGATATTGCCGTTCTGCACTGCGAATTTGCTTCTAGCGAAGATGGCTGTGGGTCTACACGTAATGTGTGTATTCTTATATTTAACCCAGACAATGAAGATATTGTTAGTATTCCATTGCAATTATAAATTAGGCAACTAATTCAGGACTACTTATCTGACCCATTCCTGATTGGGATTGAAGGCTGATTCTGGTTTAACCGGATTGCCCCGGCATATCCCTGCTTAGCCATCTTTTCGATCTGTTGACTTACTGCGTAAGTCAACTTGAACTTCGTTAAATTTTTCATATCATTCCATTCTTAGAAGATTGTTGTTTACGTTCCTAGCTTTTAGTGCAACGGCATCTCGCAGCTACCTTATTTATTAATTTTGAAACAATTTTAATTTCCAACACTAGCGATCTAAAAATACATAAGGAAAACTAAAAAAAAAAACAGGAGATTTTATAATCACTTGGCTAAACAAAGCAAGATCTAGTACACTAGTGGATGTTATACTAAATAATTGGAATTTGACGATAATTGTGACTTTTTGTGCGATAATTTTTTAAAAAATGAAGAATTTAAGGAAATTTTGACAGTAGTTTGAAAGCACTATAATTATAATAGGCTACTTCACTTTAAACATACCGGATTTTATACTTGAAACTTCTGACTGTCGGGATTTTTTTTTTTTTGTCGGGATAATGACATGTCGGGATTGTGCTTGTCGGGATTTGACCGGCACCTGATAGAGCGATCAGACATATGCTAACTCTATCAGTTTCTAATATGGATTTGATATTGTCCCAATTTATATATGATATTTAAGGCAATGACATTTATTACGTAATTTCCATTTCTCCCAATTGTGAAACAGGAGGAACCGTTGATACGTCACAAAATCGTTACACAATTGATAAAAATTTTTTTTATATTATTTTACAATACTTTTTTGGAAGGCTCGCTTGACTTATCTTTTCTATGAATATTGAAAATGGTTAAACAAACATAAAGCTCTCACTTTGCTTTACAACATATTTTTTGAATCCCCTTGAATCCCATGGTTTTGTCTTTTTGTAAATTTCGCAATTTGATTGGTTGACTAATCCCGTAGTGATATTTTGACTGGTCGATACAATGAGTGATCTGTGTAACGGAGAATGAAAATCATATCTATATTTGGACGGTTTCTCCTGTTCAATTGTGATTTGATATGTGTAATATATGGGCTGACATCAATAGAAATCAAGCAGACTACATTTGAAAAAAAATTAATATCTTAAATTTCACATCTCATATCTCGATGAATTTTAAAGATTTCTTGATGATTTAATATTCAACAGAAAGCTTGCGATCTAAGCATTTTTGTGAATATTAAATCGTCAAGATACTTTTAAAATTCATCAAGATATGAGCAGTGAAATTTAAGATATTAATTTTTTTTTCAATACAGATCTGCTTGATTTCTATTGAAAGCAGTCCATTGTACGCATTCAACCCCATCCTCTAAAAAATTACGTCAGTGCCCTTATCTGATATACACTATTTGACCTGTATTCGTGTAATCAAACTATTATATATAATAGGTTAGACCATTTGGCCAAAGACCATTTAACCAACGACTAGCAAATTCATTGACCGATAATTTAACAAACTCTGATATTTAATTCTGCATTACAATATATAATCTTATTTTTAAAGTATAAACGACACCATCACTATGAGAAATGTTTGTTTTTTGATAAATTTATTGTTGATTATTTTAACATTAAAACTTCGATTAATCGTGGTTGATGCTTATAAGGAACCTTTGGCAAAATTATGGGGCGTAAAAAAGAACGAACTAGTCAAACTAACCGGATTATTAAATATTGAGAAGAAATTGTCTATGATAGATGAAATTATAAAGCCATTATTGGATGACACAAGCTTTGGTGGAACCTACGTGGATGTAAAACGGAATAAGTTAATTATTAATACAGTAAATTTCTCTGAGGTAGATTCTTTAAAATCATTACCTAATGTAGAACCACATGTAAATGATCTGTTTTTTAAAAATGTATCCAACCCAACAGCTGACTTAAAAGCCAAGTTTAATCGAATACTCGAATTAGCTCATGAGAATGAAGCACGCGTCGCATATATATTCAATGACATGAAACGTAATAATATTGTTATAATGTTAGACATAAAAAGCCGGAGACGAAACAAAAAATTTTTAAATGCAGTTGAATCATTACATCCGACTATACTTTATAAGAGAAAATCTGATGAACCACCTTCTCTGAAGCACATAAAAAGAGATCCAGTTGCTACTATATCTTCTATTACATTACTTGGAGAAAGAATAACTAGTCAAGATGATTATAAATTTGCAATTGGTTTTTTCGCAAAAGATAAAACAAATCCAAATCTAATTTACATGGTAACTGCAGGACATTGCGCTTCTCTGAACGAGACAATCCTTTATGACGGAAGGGTAATTGGAGAAGTGACTTCATGTAACCTTGCTCCATTCGAATATAGCTTAATCAAAATAACAGATGATAACTTCAAATCATCAGCAATTATAAAGAATACAAATTCGAATTTATATAATCAATTATTTGTCAACGATGTTATGATTCCATCTAGTATTGGTGTTCATTCATGCAAATCTGGCCCCTATTCAGATGTTACCTGTGGGAATGTAATATCATTAGATGTGCTTTTTAAAGATCGCGGGGAAATACAACGTACATTCATAACAGATATGATATCTGTTGAAGGTGATAGTGGTTCGCCTACATTTTCTTATTCATCGGATTTACGCAAAGTAAGTCTAACTGGTATTGTCGATGGAGGTTATTATGGGACGACAACTGTTACATCGGTAAATGAAATTCTTGTACATGCTAATTTAGAACTTATAACGTATGATTTCTCACTTAACCATACGGGTTAAACAATTGTGATAAACATTATGAATTGATCATCCTTGTCGATTGAACGTTCTTGAATACTTTGCTCTCAACTGATATTTTTTTAAATTTATCTATCATATTCGCCAGCTTTTTGCTAATGAAAGCCGATATATTCTAATCTCCTATAATAATTATATTTATTTTCATTCTCTTAATAATTACTTTAGTTATATTTATTAAGGACGTATCTAATCGTAACATGTTACACGCTTATTTGTAATAACTTACTTAGTACAGCCAATAGAAATTCGTATAAACCAAACCTAAACCCTAACTACTATAAGATAGCTGTGCGACGTTGTCACACCAAAACCAGGAACGTAGAATAACGATTAGTATATTATAAAACTTTTTGATTAGATATAGAATTGAAAAACCAAGAAATTTGTTATACTTAATATTATTTGGCGCTTCACGCTGAATAGCTATTAATTATGAAGCAGAAGAGTATTATTACATTATATAAGAGATAAATTAAACCTCAATGCGATTATATATATTTTCGATTTATTGGATTTGATCAAATTAAAGATTTTTTGTGAATCCTTGAGTCCCATGATTATAAAATAGAAAACCATCTAAATTCATTATACAGTCAGTCCTCTCTAAGTGTAATTCGTTGGGACCAAACTTTTGATCCCTTTTGTCAGCTTGCATTTAGAGAACAATTAAGAAAATTAAATTTATAGAGACTAAACATATATTCGTGTTAGAATTTAAAGTTACATTTAAAAAGAATTGATTATATCTACTAATGATCTTGGGCTTATGCAATTTATAATTTTTGATCCAAAACTGTTAATTTAGTGTTTGGACTCGTCTAAAACATCTCTGTCGTAAGCCACCCGAATGCAAACCAGGACAACTACAAAAAGTATCCATCGGGTCACCCAACGGGTGAACTATTAGTCATCTGGGTGGAAGTTGAACTGAAAACCGGGTTAATTGAAAAAGTCACAATTCAATTCTTTTATAGCTGTTATCTTAAACTTTGAGGCATCTGATAAAAATTAGCTGAAGGCGGATTCAATTAAGTTGGTGATTTTAATTACAAATTCTTAAAACTAACTTATATAACGCTTATAAAATTTTACCTCTATATAGGCACAAACTCTCTATAAGACCAAATTCTTAAAAACTAAGGGTGTAAATATAGAGAGGTTTAATTGCGTGTAATTTAAGATCAGATAATTAAGGATACACAAAGTAAAATTTTCTCATTGCATTACCTGCTGACCTAAGTTTTTAAAAGCTCTTTGTTTTTAAAATAACAATTTGGTTTAAAACAAAATTAAATAGTCTTAATGCACCTGACTTAAAAAATTAATACTGTTGGCCCTCTCAAAACCGGTATGCATGGTGGATGGGTTCTGTATCGGTTTTGGGAGGTTATCGGAT